CAGCCAGCTAACCAATCAGAGCAGACTGGGCTCTGGTTTCAGACAGAGGGTGAAAACAGGCAGTATGAGACAAATAAAGCTTTTTGAACATTAAATCATGTCACAGATTAGATGCACAAAATACAAATTTGAACCTAAAGGCTCGGACACACCAATCTGACAACAAAGAACTGACACAGACGGACCCCGACTGTTGAGTCACCTCGCGTCTCTGCGTGTTGGCCATGTGTCGCACTGGAACACACCGCAAAGACTTCAGCCGACGGCCAAGAAGCACGTACGAACTGCGCATGCGTGAGTGGCAATAACTCTCCTTACCAGCAGGCGGCGGTAGTGTGTATTCGTCATTCAAAAGAGGCAACCGGAAGACAGACTGCGTGATATACACAAACAACAAATAGCGTGCGTTCCATGTTCACTCTACAGCGAGAAGCTCATGGGGCTTTCCCCAACCTGTGTCGAGAGCTGGAGTTCAATGAAATCTCAGATTTGCCTTCTTAATAGTTTGTTTGGGTCCCTCACTTCCGTTTCGCTTCTCATGAACTGATTCGCTAGCTGAACAGCCAATCAGAGTGATTTATTTTGCCGTCTGCCTTTGGCCGACTGCCCACCGATTCAACGTTGAATCTATCTACCTTTTTAACCATACTGTAAGTCAGTCTGTCAGCTGTCAGTACACTGCACAGTCAGTCGCCCATTTAGGCAACCAGACATTGGATATTGGACGAGGTCACAGTCGATTAGTCAAAAATAAAATCTAAATATTAAGATCTGGATAAGGATTCAGCTCTGATAAGGACGATGTGTTTGAACCACAGACTGGTCAGAGTTCAGTCAAAGGACAAAGTACATTGTTTTGTAACGGTCAGTGAAACATCTGGAGCACTTAAGGTTTTCCACAGAGGCTCATCTGCATATTACAAAGAGACCGGCAGGCCTGACTAACACGGATCAGGTGTTTGTTCTGTGTCTCTATCCTTCTTTGTTTATTCAGCAACAAGAGCAGTGTTTTTGTTGGTCTGAAAACAGAAAAACATGGTAACAGATGAAACCAAGTGAATAAATAAGTGAGCTTTGAGTCATGTTTGGTGGAGGATATGGAATTAATTAAAGTGCCTGGAAATATGTGAATGAATATCGCATCAAACTGCTTTAATGTGAAAAGTGACAAAGGAAGTAAAAGGAACAAATCAAACAAAAATAAAGTCAGTAATATAGACTCATTTAGGGTGATTTAAACAAGACAGTTGTTGTTTTTGATGTTTTAGGAAAAGTTGTTTGTAAAATATGTAAATAAAATCTTGCGCTGTTGTTTGCAGCCTTTTGAGGTGTTTTTCCTTTTTAAATCACTGATCCAGCTTAACTAAACGGTAGACACAAAACATTATGACTATAGGCACCTTCAGTTCAAATCCCATTTTACGGTCTTAAAAGTGGGGTAGGTAAGAATGGAGAAACCAGCTCGAGTGCGCTAGAATTTGAAAGTAAGCAGCCGAAAAAAATCTGCCAATTCCTTACAGAGCCCCTCCTCCAACACACACGAACGCGCACATGACCAATGAGGGCACGAGATAAGTTTGTGCACAGATGGAAGGCTGACAGGCAGGTAGGCCATCCAGTTACTTTAGACGGGCCGGCTCAGATGATTGGTCGTGCTTTTTACAGCGCCACGGCTTCCACAGATTACATTTTTTATATGTATTTATTGTCAAAGCATTTAATATATTCATTGCTATCGGGACGTTAAGAGCATTCCATGGAATATAACTAAAAGTGTTTCTGAAGTGAATTACCTACCCCACCTACCTTTACGCACTTTTATAAACTGTATTTTGTATGACCTCTTTAGGTGAATAACCTCAGCTTTTTCCTGATCTCTGTCAAAATGTTGTTTCTTGGGGTGAAAAGGGTTTCTAATGTAACACCAGGCCGATGTTTTTAGTGGGCTATTTGTGGTGTCGGCGTGGAGCTTTGTTGCCCTTACAGACCTCCAGTGCGTCTGCTGGCGTTGACTCTTCAAATGTGGTGAGAATGTTGGTTTTTTGGGGTGACGATCCAAAGCAAGGCAGCCGCCTGCGAGTCCAAACTCAACAACAACAGGCTGATGTAAACACACTTGACATGACAACACACATGCGCCTATTTTGGAGGAATGCAAAGAATTGGGAAATTGCAAATGGACATGTGCTTTTGAGCTGTTAAAAGCACGTGGTTTTTTAGAAAAGCAAGCAGAAAACAGAGCCAGTCTTTTGGAGTTCAATGAACCTCAAGTTTTTTTACAAATCAACACGGAAAATAACATGCAAGTCATGCTTTTTCAAGAATACGTTACGCATCATAGGAAAGAAAACAATATTTTTTGTACTTGGCACAATAATACAATAATTATTAGAATTGCAACTTTCTTGTATGTAGCTATTTGGCTTTTTTTTGGAGGAAGTGCAGTGTGTTTTTTTTTACAACAAGTTTTTGAAACACTAAGCCGGATTCTCATATTATGATTTTTTAGTTTGTAGCCCCACTTTGGATAAAGCAGGCAAGGGCTAAATGAAAGGTTAATTAACAGAAAACAAATACAGGGCAAGTACCTCGTGATTTTTTCGGACTATCAGCCGCCACCTGAAATTATAAAGCGAAGCAGCAGGGGCAATATACCAAAACTTCCTCGGTTTTTTCCACTTTTTAGCTTAGCTTTGCGGCGCTACAACCCCGCCGTAACGTTAAAGGTGGGGGTCCGCGGACCGGCCATAGAGCCCATAGAGTTAAAGGTGTTGGCCGTTAGCTGTAAAAATCCATAGATTAGCCGCACCGTTATATAAGCCGCAGCGTCGAAAAATAGGGAAAAAGGCGCGGCTTATAGTCCGAAAATTACGGTATACCAAAATAAATGAATGAGTCAGCTTTACAACTGAACACAAATTCAAGCACACAGTAGATCTCTTTGGGGTAAATAATCTCACATTAAATGACGATAATTGAGTGGTGGTGTTCTGATGAACTGACATCTTAGGGTTTAATATGTGTGAGTGTTTGTTCCTTGTGTTTTATGAATTATGCTGCAATATAAGCCTCTGACATTATCATAAGCATTGTGTAGGCTTTCACTTACATCATGACTTGTTGTTGTCATTTGTTCTTTACTTGTTTGTGCAGATGATTCGGAAGAGGAGAGTCTGGACTCAGATCTGGGTCAGGTGGGGACTCACGCTTTCGCCCGTATGGAGGGGGACGTGGACAAACAGAGGAAACAGATCCTTCAGGGCCAGATGTCGGACGTGGCCCTGCAGAAACAGCACCAGAGAAAGTAAGAGTCGCAAACACAATTATTAAATAATTGGAACCTACTGGGTCGAAAACGCAACATCTTATATAATAACATGCATCTCTTTAGGTCTCAGTTGTGTTCAGTTTAGGTGTGTCTCACGAAAACTGGCATTTGTGATGCTATACAATTCATTAAGATCACTTCTCTGTGTGTTCCTCACCTGCAGTTACAACCGCTGGCTGTGTCGGGCGAGAGCGGAGGATCTGTCTGACATCGCAGCTCTGAAAGCTTTATATCAAACCGGTATGTGATCATGTGTATGAGGGGCAGGGAGAGAGAAAAGTTGCGAGTTGAAACCTTAATTTTGTCGTGTAAATCTGTCACCTGTGAAATATTATTGTAAAAAACGAGACGGAAGCAAAAGGAGATGTTTAGACTTATGTGTTTTGCCAGTGTTTTGTGCCCGACTGCCTGGATGTGTGTTCATGTTTATGTTGGTGTTTTGATTTTCTTCCACCTCATGTCACACAACACTGGTGAGGTACGATTGTCCCAGATTTAATTCCAGTGAATGAAATGCAACATCTCCCTTTGCTCAGCTGTTATCAGGTGCAGTTACATCTCCTTACCAGTAGGAGGCAGTGTTGTATTACAGTTTTGCCCCAACGCCATCCGTTTTGATTACAAGGCATTTTAAAACTTGCATTACCTTGTGGAACCAGTTTTCTTAAAACAGGGACATGTGTAAACCCCCAAATGAACTTGATTATCCCATATTTATCTGGTTAAATCTTAACAATGCTTTAGAAAAAGAAAATGAATGATCCAGAGAGCTCTGGAGTTCAGACAAGTGTTACGAGGATGCTGTTTGGTGAGGAATGTAAAGTTTACAAAGAGTAAATCTAAATCTTTCAGTTAGATGGTTCATTTATGTTAACATTTGAAAGAAGCTAGTCACTGCTTACACATGTAAAAATTAAGCTTAACTTAATTGAACGCACTAAATGGCACGAAACAGATGCAACCAATATAACAAAAATCCAAAAGAACATAACGATCACGCTTTTCAGACAAACAAACACAATTACCAAACACCAAACTGAAGAATAACTTGTTGGTGGAGGTAAAAACAGTAACACACTGACTCAGAAATACACATAAAATGAATGTTTAAACAAAACACAGCCCTCAGAAGAAACTCAAATGCACCACAGTTCCAACACAACATCAAGGCCTTCATCAGAGACACATGTGATCAGGCTGCTGCAGATCCTCAGCCTTTCCAGAGAGCTGTTGTCACTTTCTCCGAGGGGACAGGCTTTCATTTGAGAGGAGAGGCAGGAAACCAAGAGCTGGAGAGGCAGAGTGAGCTCCGAGCTCATTTCTCAGAAGTTTTACAGCCTGTCGAAAGGATTTGACCATTAATAATATTATTAATATCAGGAAATACACCACAAACTGAGGTCATGAGGCACTGTGTCATCACTGTCATGGAAAATGAAGAGGCTGCAACTAATTGTTACTTTGTATTTTGTCTTACACACATCAGAAAATGTGCAACACAATTTTACAATGACATCTTCAAGTTTTTGTTTTGGGCAGATGGTTGGACCAAATGTAAAACTGTTGCGTGTGTGTGTGTGTGTGTGTGTCCTGTTGATATTGTGTGTCCTCAGGGGTGGACTCGTGTGGCCGGACGGTGATGATTCTGGTTGGACGGAACATCCCGGTGACTCTGATCGACATCGAAAAGGTGTGTGTGAGATACCTTCACATTAACCTCCATCTACCAAAAATGGTATTACTTGAACCAAAATAAACTAAAAACGAATTATTCAATAAATATCATATTATTGCCACACAAGTCTACTCCTCCTGAGGACACACTCGATATCAACAGATCAAACACACACACTGAAACACACACATTGTACATTATAGAATCCACTGCTATAAGTGTGTATGCACCTTATTAGACTGTAACTGATTCACTGTGTGTGTGTGCAGGCGCTGCTGTACTTCATCCACGTGATGGACCACATCACAGTGAAGGAGTATGTGATGGTTTACTTCCACACGCTGACCGGAGAGCACAACCACCTCGACTCAGAGTTCCTCAAGAACCTGTACGACATCGTGGACACCAAGTCAGTATAACACTCTAAACTCTGAGTTCAACTGTGCTACAACTCCTAAATGGGTTCGTAAATGGGACAAAAAGTCAGATGAACATGAGCATTTAATACACGGGCAACATTTTGTACTAATATTTTTACATTTTGCAGTTATTTGACTTGGTCTCTTTGATCAAAAGCACAACATGTGTTATAAATATGATCACTTTAAAGTCGAAAACAGAACTATTTAAATCTGAAATAGTTTTAGTCTCTCAGGTTTGTCTCATCCCTCTGCTACACACAATGGTTGAATAAGAAAACGCCTCGACTTTAATGATCTGTGTTATATTTTCTGGGTTTGCAGTCATTTGCTCAGCTGGACAGCGCCAACATCTCCAGTATTTAATTGCCAGAGACTTGCATATCAAGCATAAATCTTGAGGAGTTTTTTTTTGAATGATAAATGTATTGTGAGGCTTTGGCTGCTATTTGACCCTGGTTTGTCTTTCTTCTGGCGCTCACTCAGTCCTCATTTCTTCGCTGAATTCTGCAGCTGCATTCAAGTTCAGATACATTGTTCCTGCTGCAGCATCACACCGCCAAGGTTACACTGTTTATACTTTTGGAACAGCAAAACGGGCTGTGAAACGCTTTTTGTTTCACTGCGGGTTTTGGAAATCTGGCGGCCATATTTGGAACAGGAAACACAAAGTTGGAGCGTGTTCTTGGGGGGATGTATCGGCTGTGACTCAGCCTTAATCACAGGGTTCAACGTTTTAAAAGAATATGTTTGTACTGAGCTTGCTTTGAGTAGACGGCTCATAGGAATCCCTTGACTAAATCACTTTTAGACATTATAGTTGTTTAAGAACGGGTCTCCAGGAGCTGATAAAAAAAAAAAACAACTCCTGAAGAAAAGGGTTAGGGAACGTGTTCTGCAGGAGTTTCAGTATAAAGTAGAAAGGAGTGCAAATAAAAAAATTTGTATAAATATAAACAATAAAGATTTATTTATAAAGTGCAAAAACCAAATGTACCTAGTGCCAGGAAAGTAAAAAAGTTAACAAGAAGGTGCAATCTAATTTAAAGTACCCAGAAAACTAAAGAAGTAGTCTTTAAATGGATCTAAATCAGATGCAGACAAGCTATCTTATTCGAGATGAGTACACGATACATCCAGTGTCACATATTTGAAGGCAAACTTGAAAAATAATCCTACTTATCTTCACATCAACATATGGATGGCAATATGTCAGCCATGCTGTGTCCAACAGCGACCAGATGCAGCGCAGCAGTCAGACCTGGACCCGAATCATCTGAACTTCAAAGATTGTTTGTATTATTTGTATTCCAGATACAGACTATGCTAACTATCACAAACACATCGACACACGAAACACTCTACACATGTAGTCAGATGTTGTATTAGTAGCAGGCCAGCTTAAAATGGCATCAAATTGTTTGCAGCCTTCAGTGAGTTCCACTTATCAAGCTTACTGTAAGAAGAGACAAATCCTCAAAATAATAAATTAAAGAATAGTTTATTGAGTTACCCAGTCATCAGTTGGCCCACATGTTTTATATGATCTACTTTAAAGTATGTTCTTCAACACATCCTATAATTGTTTAAAGGGCCCATCTCATGCTTTTCTGGTTATTACCCGTCTCCTTGTGTGTTATGAAGGTTTTTCTGCATGTAAACGGTCTGCAGAGTCCCAAACCCTCAAAGTACACCCTGTAGCGAGTAAAACTCTAACACAGAGAAGACCTGTCTATGCTGACCCAGAACGCCTCGTTGGACATTTCTCTTTTTCCATTTGTTTCTTCCGGGAACCGCATGACCAATCTGCGGAGCTCCTCACACACCAGGATCCCTTGCCGGCACTATCAAACGCAGTGGGGGGGATCTTTAGCGTACATTTTAAACCAACAGGGAGTCCCATTGACTTGCTTAGAGCTCCCTGGTTGGTAATAGACGAGTTGGGATCACGGAGAAATGCTCTCCACAGACTCATTCTCACAGCGTTCAAGCCACACTTATTGTTTTTACTTCGGCTGTGAGTGTTTGTGTGTGCTCAGGATGAGTTTGGCGCCGACCCGGAAACCACACCAGTAAGCCAGCTCACTGAGCAGCGAGCCTCGCAACGTCCCGACCAATCAGAGCACACTGGGCTCACAGAGATGCTGTATGAGAAAACAATGTGAGTTTGGAAAATTGCACAATATAAATCTATTCTAGTTGACCTCAACAATGGAATTATGATCAGTGGAAATGGCCATGACACGGGACCTTTAAAGGTATGTCATAGACTTGGGCTGAATTTAAGGAACATTTTATTTCAAATGATGTCATTCTTGTTTGTCATAATGGGCAGGAAACACATGCGGATAGGTAAGAAGACTGGCTAACAGAAAAGCCCCAGGTCGGTGTTATTTGGAAGAGAAAACAAAATGTGAGTTATTACCCGAACAGTCATACAAATAAAGATCTGCTTTGTACATCTTGGGATCATAGATGTGACTCAAAAGTGCTTTCAACTGTATGTTTTTAGGAAAAGATCAAAAATATACAGGACTCATTCAACTAAAAAGAAAAAATAAGTTCAAAAATGTCCTAAAAGATCTTGTAACTGATGTACTTTTTGATGGACAAACTGCAATTTAAACATTTTGTATTTTCTTACTTTCTTAAAAAGAAACTCCGGTGCTCAATTGTTTGATTTACCTTTTTTAGTCATAGTATCTTTCTAGTGTCTGGAAACCACAACCGAACAAGCTTCCTGTGTGAGAGGGAAACTCCATGCAGTCATTTTGCACCTTTTAAACCCCCTTGTTTCTCTTTTCATTTCTTTCTGAGACTGGCCACTCATTATGTTTCGTCACACCTTTACTAAACTTTTTCTGTCTGGAACATTCAGTCAATTACGCCCTTAGGACTTTAACATTTAAAAACCTAATTCCTCAAGTTTGATCTTTACTTTACCGGAGTCATTCGTCACCCAATGGCTAAAAGGAGTCATGTGTTAGTTACTTCAGTCACACAGCGGAGAACTAAGAAAGCCAAAGAAAAGATGGTAAAATATGAATGAAGACGCTGTATTCAGCTTCCTGTTTCTTTAGTAAGGGAAACCGCATTCAGCCATAAAGGTTAACCATGAGTCCTTTGATACACGCTGCTGATTCACAGAGAGCTGCAGCTTTAATGCTAATCACCTTTTAATGTCAAGGTTATTTTAAGTTCCACAAACTCTCTGTAAACATTAGCATTTCATGTGAACTTGTTATAAGAAGAGAGACTTGTTAGACTTTAATTAGGTGTGTTGAAAGCCAGATGTCTTTTTATTTAATGTGTGCAGCTTTTGAATTGGATATTGGATCCTGGCTGGCTTCTGTTTCCTCTGAAATGTTTGACATCAGTAGCTTTCCATGATTCAGTGAGCAACACAAATGTGTTATCAGCTTTTCTGGGGGGTCGTTGGACTCTACCGTTAGAAATCGCCTTCAACGAAAGCCTTATTGGGTTCAGACGACACAAAATCTATATATAAAAAAAGCAATATTTCTGCTTGCTTTAAAGGTCACCTATTATGCAAAAAAATCCACTTGTTCATGTCTCTTCTACATCAACATGTGTCCCCTCTGTGGAAAGAGACTCTGAAAGTTTCAGGAACAAAGATTCTCTCTCTTTTTGTCCTGATCCATTTCTATAAAAACCTGTCTGAAAATGAGCTGATCAGATTTTGGCCACTTTATGATGTCATAACGATGTCTGGGCTTGTGTAACCATTAGCCAATCAGCAACCAAGGTAACCCCCCCCTCCCACCTTATCACCTGAATCTCCTCCTAGAGCACCATTGTGTTCTTTTTAACCAAATCTCTCTCAGAGGGGCGTGGGGAGGGGCTCCTTATTTTCATCTAAAGTAACAGACAGAGAATCAGCACTTTGGAAACAGGGCTGAAACAGAGGGGATTATGGGAATGCTGCAATGATCTGTTTGGTGTTTGGAGCCAAACACTTCAGAGACATGTTTTGTATCTGAGACTTATAATATATTGATGAAAAACAGTATAATAGGGGACCTTTAAAATACATTTTACTTGTTTACTAACTCCCAATGTATCAACACTATATACAGTACATGTAATAGTAGATGTGCAGATAAATCAATTATGCCAAACAAAAGAGTTAAGAAATCACACCTTCCTATAACTTTTTGTACATTTTGACCATCATTATAACTTCCTCATTTTCATTTTCCTTATTCTCTGCCATTATAGTTTGGTAAAGGCCGTTTCACATGACATTTGCTGCTTTGGTTGCCAAGACAACAACCTTGTGAGGTCTTGTCCTCCCAGATTTATTTCAAGCACTATAAGACTCATTATCAGGGCTTATTAATCTCAGTGATTTCTTGATAAAGGTAAATTGCTGCCTGGAACTGTAACATGTTCTTTCTCCTTAATGAATTCTGAAGGTATCATAGTTGATGCCTTTCTTAAAAAGGTCAAGGTTCTATTTTGATATCCAATTTCATCCCTTTTGATATAATTTCTGGAGAGACCATCAAAAATTGTTAGCAGAAATATATCCACACACTCAAGCAAGCTAAAATAATAATGTCTCGTAGTTAGTTTTCCTGTTTGAAATTTGACGGGGACAACAACATGGGATTTGTCTGCATTTAATAAAGTTAATCAACATGAGGTGTTGGTGTTTTGTGAAAAGTCTTACAGTAAAGGGGGACCTATCATGCAAAATGCACTTTTTTATGTCTTTTAT